TTCAATAAGGCCAGGAGAGGAATGGCTTTAGACCAGATCAGTAGACTTTCCTTGGAATATCCATAGCCCTTCTTTGGGGACCATAGGTTGTTCCCCCACCCACCCGCCCCCTACTGGCAGCTTTAGCCCAGAGTTCTGCTAGCTGGAAACCCAGAACTTCTCATATCTATCTGTCCATTAGGTCTTTCCTGACAGCCTAGGGGTAAAGGTTCTATGTCAGAAGCATGGAGTTGATTGTGGACTTGCCCTTAGCATTCTCATTCCTGCAAGAGACTGTCCTTAGACAGTCACAACATAGTGAATTGGGATTCTTTTTGTGTATGCAGTCATGGAGCCTGATTTCAGGGCCTGTGCTCTCTCCCTGAGATTTTTTGCTCAAGGCTGGTGCTATACTACTTGAGCCATAGCTCTACTTCCAGCTTTTTGATGGTTAATTGGAGGTAAGGGTCCTAAGGACTTTTCTACCTGTTTAGCTTTGAACCACAACCCTCAGATCTCAGCCTCCTGTGTAGCTAGAATTGCAGGCATGAGCCACGAGTGCACAGCATGAATTGAGATTTTTATTGTACTAAAAGGGAATGAAAAAAAAATAAAAGGGAATGAATGCAAGGACTGTAAAGTTCAGAAGAGATACTTAACCCAGCTTGGATATTGGTGAAGACTTCCTGGAGGAGAGGCTTTTGTTGCTAGAAGATGAGGGTGGAGGTGAAGAAGGATCAGTGTGAATGCCAGGCTGACATTTTGGATTTTATCCTGAGGGCAGTGGAGAGCTTTGGAAAGATTCTAAGCAGGAAAGGAGATGTAATAAGATCATAAAAGAGGGGCTAGGAAGGTGGTTCAGTGGTAGAGTGCTTTCCTTACATGCATGAGGCCCAGGGTTCGATTCCTCAGCACCACATAAGCAGAAAAAGCAGGAAGTGGTGCTGTGGCTCAAGTGGTAGAGCACTAGCCTTGAGCTGAGGAGCTGAGGGACAGCGCCCAGGCCCAGAGCTCAGGCCCCATGACCAAAAAAAAAAGATGTTAGAAGATCATTCCAGCTTTTCTGACTGAAAAATAGATTTAAGGGTAGGGACAAGAGTTAGGAAGACCAGTGAGGAGGTTAGTGCAGTGGCTTTTTTTTGGGGGGGGGGGGGAGGTCCGGTCGTGGGGCCTGAACTTTGGGCCTGGGCACTGTCCCTCAGCTCTTCAGCTCAAGGCTACCGCTCTACCACTTGAGCCACAGCGCCACTTCTGGCTTTTTTCTTTTTGCTTATGTGGTGCTGAGGAATCGAACCCAGGGCCTCATGCATGCAAGGCAAGTGCTCTACCACTGAGCCACCTTCCCAGCCTCGTGCAGTGGCTTATATTGCTGGAGACCTGTGAGGATAGAGAGGAAAGGATAGCGGGGCACTGGTGGCTCACGCCTGTAATCCTAGCTACTCAGGAGGCTGAGATCTGAGGATCACGGTTCAAAGCCATCCCAGGCAGCAAAGTCCATGAAACTCATCTCCAGTAAACCACTAGAAAACTGGAAGTGGCACCATGGCTCAAGTGGTAGAGTGCTCACCTTGAGCTGAATAGCTAAGGGACAGCACCCAGGCCCAGAGTTCAAGCCCCACAACTGACCAAAAAAAAAAAAAAAGAGGAAAGGATAGAGTCCATTGAAAAGTAGCAAGTAGAATTGACAGGAGTTTTGGTCCATTTGGCAAGGAGTAGAGAGAACAGAAGTCATCTATAACTTGAGACTACTTTCATCAGTGGCCAAAGGAATGATTCTAGTGATAAAATCTTATCAGATATAAGATTGTTTGTTGTTGTTGTCATTTTTTATTTTCCTTTTATAAACTTCTCTTGCCCTGCCAGAAAGGGGTTTGTCTACCCATCTTGTAGTACTGGGCTAATGGGGAGGTTTGGAGTAAGCTGTGTATGAATCTAGTCTCTAATAGCTCTTAATGTTTCTTGTTGCTGGCCCAGTTGGTGAGTATGAAACTTACATGCTAGGGATGGGAGTAGAAGTAGGGGTTTAGTTATTGGATTTTGTGTGTGTGTGTGTGTGTGTGTCTGTCTGTCTGTGTGCACATAATGGGCAGACATGGTAAGCCCTGTTCTTAAAATTCTGCCCCCACTATTAATCAGAGAGAAGTTTATGAAGATTGACTGCTAGTCACAGAATCCTAACTCTGTTCCTTCTGAGGTCCCCCAACTCTATATCATCTCTGCTCAATACTTGTTCCCAGAACCAGTCAGGATTCAGTGCCCTTGAATGTTTTGTGCTGTCCTAAGATGTCTGGCTCTGCCTTTCTTTTCTTTTCTTCTTTTTTGTTTGTGTGTGTGTGTGTGTGTGTGTGTGTGTGTGTGTGTGTGTGGTTGTGGGGCTTGAACTCTGGGCCTGGGTGCTGCCCCTCAGCTCTTCAGCTCAAGGCGAGCGCTCTACCACTTGAACCACAGCGCCACTTCTGGTTTTCTAGTGGTTAATTGGAGATAAGAGTCTCACAGTCTTTCTTTGCCCAGGCTGGCTTTGAAATGTGATCTTAGATCTCAGCCTCCTGAGTAGCTAGGATTACAGGCGTGAGCCACAAGTGCCATGAGTGCTACTCACAAGCAGCTGAGTAGAGGAAGCAGTCTTCAGAGCAAATATTCCAGGAAGTAGAGGTAGCACTCTCACTTTCATTTCACTCTGGGGAGCAGAGGTTGAAAAATTAAGTATGGAGACTTACAGATTCTACTATGTCTGGTGTCCTCCCTCTCCCCTGTAAGTACCTTTGTTGTGCTCAGTGGCCAAGTGGCTCAGTGTCTTTGTAGGGAAGTCTGCCTCTAATGCCAATACTTACTGTACCCACTGTATGCCCAACACTGATGGTATTTCACACAAAATGTATTTAAAATTGATTCACTCTGCAAGACAGGATGTGTTATACCAGTGCTGCCAATGAGTAAACTGGAGCTCAGAGAGATGAAGTGCCTTGTTTGAAATCACCAGGCTCTAGACAGACACTGATGACTCACACCTGTTATCCTAGCTACTCAGGAGGCAAAAATTTAAGGCTCAGGTTCAAGACCAGCCTGGAAAGTAAAGAGTCTCTGGCAGAGTCTCTTATCTCTGATTAACCACCAAAAAGCCAGAAGTAGAAAAAGCCAGTGGTAGACATGGTAGAGTCCTGACCTTGAATCAAAATAGCTAAGGGATAGCATCCAGGCTGAATTCAACCCTTAGGACCAGCACACACACACACACACACACACACACACACACGTGTACGCACAGAGCTACTACTACACACACACACACAGCTACTAAAGGCAGAGCTGGGATCCAAAGCCCCCACACTACTGTTTGGGAATGAGCCTGGTTTCAAGCCATGGTACCTCAAACATGATCTTGAGGGCAGTGCTTTCTCTTAGAGAACTCTGTACTTAGCTTCTTCTAACAGTGCTGAAGAGAACCTAGCTCCTTTTTTGTGAGCTGTGAAGTGCCTGGCCGACCCTCCATCATGCCCATCCTGGCTCAATATGAGTTACCTCCCATATTGCTTACTTTCTTAGCTTCCAGATACCCATTCGATATTTCCATTGAAAGAAAGGAAGGGATCTATCTCTGAACACCAGTCCCTCCATAAATATAACAGGATCATTCCCTTGCTGGGTTGCTGGGCTCTAGCACTGCCCCGGTCTAAAAATAATCTATGGAAAGTGTGAGTACTGGATTGGCAGCTTCCTGTTGAAGTATTTAAAAAGTGCCGATTCTCAGGTTCAAGATTTGCATTTTCACACAGTCCCTTAGTGAATTATGTGTATTTTAAAATTTGCAAAGCACTGGCTTTCCCGGCCCCATCTGAACTACCCCATTTGTCCACCTCTTAGCTAAGCAATACCAGTCCTGTTTGTCTTCTTTCATATTTTACTCTTGCTGATAGTGGGACTTGAACTCAGAGCCTGGACATTATCCCTTAGCTTTTTCACTCAAAGCTGGTGCTTTGCCACTTGAGCCATAGCTCTACTTCTGTATTTTTGGTGGTTAATTGGAGATAAGAGTCATACCGATTGTTCTACTTTGAACCTTGATCTTCAGATCTCAGCTTCCTGAGTAGCTAGGATTACAGGTGTGAGCTACTAGCCCCAGCTCTTCCTCTCTTGAAGAGTGAGGCTACAGCTGGGCATTGGTGGCTCATGCCTGTAATCCTAGCTACTCAGGAGGCTGAGATCTGAGGATCACGGTTCAAATTCAGCCTAGGCAAGAAACTCTGTGAGACTCTTATCTCCAATAAACTACTCAAGAAGAGGAGCTGTGGCTCCAGTGGTAGAGCATTTGCCTTGAGCTGAAGAGCTGAGGGACAGCGCCCAAGCCCAGAGATCAAGCCCCATGACCAACAGAAAAAAAAAAAGTGAGGCTACAGCACCTTAAGGAATGAGTTTCAAAGATGAATAGAGATGATGTATAAGACCAGGGACTTCTCAAACTATACGGAAAGTTAGGATCACTCAAGTCCTTAAACCTGACCAGGATAGGGGTAGTCTTTGGCCTAGCTCCCAGGATCTCACAGTACTCAGGGGAATGAATGAAGTGGGGAGCTGTAAAAATACCAGTTCAGGTGGGTAGCACTACTTTTCTAAAGGTCAGGTGTTCTAGGACTCATCTTTGTGACTCCTCCTTGTCCTCAGGATTGAATCTAGTGTGTTGGGATTCCAGGGACTCCCACAGGATCTTCTCTTAGGCCAGCTATGAGCTACCAGCCTGCCCAAACACATAGGTTCCAGTTTGGGGTTAGATAGACAAGGCCTACTCTGCCCCTGCACAAATCCCGGTCTGTTTGGGAATGAGAATCACGCACAGTGGCTACAGGCAGGATTTGGGAGAGCTCTAGATGTGACCTGAAGGACTCCTGGAAAGGGAAGGGGCTGAGACAGCCTTCCTGAAGGTCATTGACTTTGAAGACAGATGGGGAGGAGAAGGGTCTCCTGGTGCGAGGGGACGGGAGGGGCTGGTGAAGGCTATACCTAGACCCCCTCATAACTCTCTCCAGGTGCCCAATTACCTGCCGTCAGTGAGCTCGGCCATCGGCGGGGAGGTGCCCCAGCGCTACGTGTGGCGCTTCTGCATCGGCCTACACTCAGCACCCCGCTTCTTGGCGGCCTTTGCCTACTGGAACCACTACCTCAGCTGTGCCTCACCATGTCCTGGCTACCGCCAGCTCTGTCGCCTCAACTTTATCCTCAATGTCATCGAGAACCTCGCACTGCTAGTGCTCACCTATGTCTCCTCCTCCGAGGACTTCAGTGGGTGCCCAGATGAGACAGGGGGAGGGAGGGAGAAGGGATTGGGAAAGGGGGGAACCAGGAACACATCCTGTTCCTTCCCACACATGGTCCTTCGTGCGTAGGGGTGAGGGCGCTGCCCGCTATGAGCACTCTCCACCCTCCTTTTCTCCCCTCCAGCCATCCACGAAAATGCTTTCATTGTGTTCATCGCAGCATCCCTCAGTCACATGCTCCTCACCTGCATTCTCTGGCGGCTCACCAAGAAGCACACAGTAAGTCAGGAGGTACGGCCTGCCCCACCTGGGCACCAGGTGGCCCAGTTCAAATCAAGGACATCTATCCTCTGGATACCGGTAATGACGAGATGGGCACTGGGGTTCCATTGGGTACCTTGGCAGAGGAGGACTGGGTGGGGGACAAGTAGAAGGGATTGACTTGTCAAAGTCCAGGACTGTGTTTGGGCAGTATGGGAGAAGAGATGAGAGCTCCAAATGGGGGTAGAAAGAGAGATAACAGCCAGGCCCCTGTGGGTTAGGAACACTGTGCTGTAGAAGTAATACCCCACCCACTTATGTTCCTTTCTTTCCACAGTACCTGGAGGTGTTGGTTGGTGGGTCATTCTGTGTGTGCTTTTTTTTTTTTTTTTTTTTTTTGGTGCCACTTCTAGGGCTTAAACTCAGGGCCTGAGTGCTATCGCTTAGCTTTTTTTACTCAAGACTAGCTGCCTGGGCTGGGATGTAGCTCAGTGGCAAAGCGCTTGCCTAGCAAGTGCAATGTCCTGGGTTTGATCCCCAGTACCAAAAAAGACAAAAAAAATAAAGTAAAAAAAAAAAACAAAAACCCAAACAAACAAAGACTAGCTGGTTAATCATTCGAGCCACAGCTTGCTTCACTTCCAAATTTTTGGTGGCTAATTGGAGATAAGAGTCTCTCACTGACTTCTCTGCCCAGGCTGGCTTTGAACCATTATCCTCAGATGTCAGCCTGCTGAACAGCTAGAATTATAGATGTGAGCCACTAGTGCCTGTCATACTTTAAGTACTTCTTTTTTTTTTTTTTTTGGGGGGGGGGGTCCGGTTGTGGGGCTTGAACTCTGGGCCTGGGCACTGTCCCTCAGCTCTTCAGCTTAAGGCTAGCGCTCTACCACTTGAGCCACAGCACCACTTCTGGCTTTTTTCTTTTTGCTTATGTGGTGCTGAGGAATTGAACCCAGGGCCTCATGCATGCAAGGCAAGCGCTCTACCACTGAGCTACCTTCCCAGCCCACTTTAAGTACTTTTAATACTCTGTCTCCCTGAAATGGGAGGGGAGAAATGCCACTGCTCCTCATCATTCCCCGAATGCAGGGATGTGAAGATGCTTATCACTCCCGCTGCCTGTGCCCCGTTCCGTGACTGCTGTGGGAACTAAGGGAGGAAGGCCTGGTCCCTTAGAAGCTGGGGTGAGAGGGAAGGCTACCCATATATACCCAACAAGCTACAGTGTGATCAGATAGCTCCTCTTCCAGGATCGCAAGTCCTACAGCTGGAAACAACGGCTCTTCATCATCAACTTCGTCTCCTTCTTCTCGGCATTGGCTGTCTACTTTCGGCACAACATGTATTGTGAGGCTGGAGGTGAGACAAGACTAGCATCCATAATCATAAATCACTATGGAGTACTTGTGATGTATTCATTCATTCATGCTTTTTCTCAGGCTTGAACTTAGAGCCTTGGCACTGTCCCACTTGAGCCACAGCTCCACTTTGTCTTTTTTTTTTTGGTGGTTGATTTAAGAGTTTCATGGACTTTCTTGCCTGGGCTGGCTTTGAACAGCAATCCTCAGATTTCAGCCTCCTGAGTTGCTAGGATTACAGGCATGAGCCCTAGGCACCAGCACTTGTGATGATTTTGGATAGCGGGCAATGGCTGCCGCCAGTGTGTTCAACCCCAGTGTGGGCTAGTCTTAAGAGGATCCTGAAAGAGGGTAACAGAAGGTTCACCATTCTGTTCCTTGTGTCCTTACAACAGTGTACACCATCTTTGCTGTCCTGGAGTACACTGTTGTCCTAACCAACATGGCATTCCACATGACAGCCTGGTGGGACTTCGGGAACAAAGAGCTGCTCGTAACCTCTCAACCTGAGGAGAAAAGATTCTAAATCCTTCTATGCTGCTAGGAAAAGGTATACAACTGTTTAGAAACAAAACTGGGCGAGGGAGAAGGGTATAAGACAAGGCTGACCCCAGTAATGATGGCTTCTCTCAGCCTTCACCTAGGCACAGAGGCTTTCAAGCAACATCACCCTTAACTGAGAAGCCCTAAGAAGCTAAACTGGCACAAAAGCTCCACCATTTGGTGCTAAACAACAACAACAACAACAACAAAGTCCTGAGGCTCATGACCACCATCTAGTTTATGGCCTTTTTATAGAAACCTTTGACTGAGTATGAGACTACTGAGCAGTGGCTGCTACCTGAAAACCAGTCATTTCTCTCCAGGTCATTTACTTAACTGTGTCTAATGAGGTACTGTGTGCATCCAGGCCTGTGGCCATAGTGCTCTGCTGAGTGTCCCTACATGTTCCAGCTCTGACTTCACCACTTTGATCTGGTGTGGCTCCAGGGTGTATACCTTTCCCTGTCAGCCTCTCATTATGTCTATCCCTGTGTACGATGGGGGAAGGTGGGCTGTTAAATAGCCAAAGGCTTTGCTCGTGTGGCTCTAACCTCATCGGATGGAGGTGTTCTGTACCTGGAGGATGACCCATCCCAGAGAAGAACCCAAGCACTGCATGTATTTCCCTTTCCTTCTGAAGTCACTGGCTTATGGACTCTTCCTCTTCTCCAAAGGAAGATGGGTCAGAGGCATAGTTCCTAATGGGTTCCCTGGTGTTTCTCCATTTTCCCTACAGCCTCAGACCAACTCTGAGCTCTTTTGGTTGTACATTTTATTGCAAATAACAATAAATTTTTTTTTCTTTTGCCAACAATCTAGGCCAAGCATGCAAGTCTTGGGGCCCACTTCCATAATGGGACCTGAGGTAGGTGATGGGCTCCAGAAGGGAGTGAATAAGTCCACCTTGGTCTTATTCCATCTGGCACCCATCACTCACCCTGGCCCCCACTTTTAATCTGGTTGTCTCTTAAGGCTAATATAAGCCTCCATTTTAGTGATCGTGACTGGAGTGACTGTAATGACTTCAGGCAGAGTTAAGATCTGTCCCATGGAAGGGGATGGGGAATAGGAAAAGAGGTAGAGTGCCTACTTAGCAAGTGTGAGGTCCTAAGTTCAAGCCCTAGAACCCCCACCACCATGAATCCTCTTAGAAGTATATATTACCGGGACAGTTCAGATGCATGAGCACCTGGTTTCAAGCTAATGGCTCCCATTCTCTTTCTGAGTCTTAAACCAGGAAGTCTTTCTTCAAGCTTTGCATCTTAATTCACTATAGCATCAGTGGCTGGGCTCAGAGCTTTGTTAGGAAAATTGGGGGTTGGGGGAGATCAACAATGAAGTCTATTGTCACTTGTCCCCTCTTAGTGCAAACAAAAGACTCCCAGTCTCTGGGGAGCCCTAGCCCATGCCCACCCCCTAATGCCCAGCACAACAGGGAGGAGGCAGGGCCACTGAAAACAGGAGGTTTTATTGATGCTGATGGGGGTAGGACAGGCCCCCAGGAGCACGGGGGGCTGAGTCAGTCAGCAGATGCGTAAGGCTTGGACACACTGAGCAGGTTAGGGCACATTTATCTTCTCAGGTCTTGTAGTTCCTTCCTTGATGAAGGGAGAGCACTTCGAGGTTTGGGGTAGGGCAATTCCAAGAGCAGCAAGGGCAGAGGTTAGAGATGGCTGAGCCCCTAACCTGAGAGGAGGCACCACAGTAGGCATGTCATAGAAAGCTGGATGAACTGGTCAGTAGCGGAAAGTGGAGGGATGGCACTGGGTTGGCCTCTTGGGAGAATCAACCTTGGCCTGGGTAAGCTCATGAGAATACCTGATGTTCCCAAGCAGGTTGGGGCAGGGCCCAAAGCCCCTTTCCCTGTAGGCCTCCTTAAGGAGAAAAAGGCATTCCAGGAGCTCCCGGGGGCAAGTGAGTGCCAGAATTAGTCCTTAAGGCACAGCTGGGGGCAGACAAGGCGCCAAGGCACAACTGGTGGGGGGGCAGGGGCAGCCTTTAAGCTGAGGGCCAGGGTCACAAGAGGACACAGGACCGCCCACGCTTGATCGGTGTGGGGTTGAGCACAGCCCGGACAGCCTCAGCAAACACTTCCTTCACGCCGTCCTGCTGCAGGGCCGAGCACTCGAGGTAGCGCACAGCGTGGATCTGCTTGGCCAGTGTCTGGCCTTGCTGGGGTGTGATGGGTGCTTGGCCCTGCTCCTTGAGGCGCCGAAGGGTGTCAGGCTGGGCTCTCAGGTCCTTCTTGGTGCCCACCAGGAGGATGGGCACATCAGGGCAGTGGTGGCACACCTCTGGATGCCACTTGTGCCTCACATTCTCATAGGAGGGCGGGCTGGCAATGGAGAAACAGATGACAAAGACGTTGGTCTGAGGGTAGGAAAGTGTGCGGAGGCGGTCATACTCCTCCTGGCCCGCAGTGTCCCATAGGTTCAGGTTCACTGTGCGCCCATCAACTGCGCTCTGGGCGCTGTAATTGTCGAACACCGTAGGAATATACTCCTTGGGGAAGGCATTAGTTGTGTAGCAGATGAGCAGGCATGTCTTGCCCACAGCCCCATCGCCCACCACCACACACTTGATGCTCTGCATTGTGGGTGAAGTTGCTGTAGGGGAGGCGGTGCCTCCTCCCTTTCTTGGGCCCCTCTGGAAGCAATGACCTGTGAAGAGGTAAGAAAGACACTCCTAATTAGGCTTCGATACATATTGCAAAGAAAAATTGGGGCTACAGAGAGAAACCAACTCCTGTTTTGTTAACTTGACAGGATTCCAAAATCTCAGTAAGACAGACATCAGAGAGACAGACAGACATTGATAGGTATTGAGCAAGATGTTATAAAGACGCAGTATAATGTGGCAGGAAGCACACAGGGTCAAGTGCCAGACCAAAGGAAAAATCCTCGTTCTGCTATTTTTCAGCTGTAACAGTAGGCAAATCACTTTCCCTCCCCATGCCTATTGTAATTCAGTAAGATGAGGATAAAGTAATACCTATCTCATTTGGTTATAAGGATAATATACATTAATACAGGTAAAGCACTTAGAATACTTGGTCAAAGAGTATTGTTGGGTGGGGAGGGGTGTACACATGCATCCTGGGGTTTGAACTCAATGCCTGGGCACTGTCCTTGAGCTTTTGGGTGGTTAACTAGGAGGTAAGAGTCTCATGGACCTACTGGCCTGGGATGAATTCAAACCATGATCCTCAGACCTCTGTCACCTGAGAAGCTAGGTTTTACAGGTTTGAGCCCCAGTAGCTCCCCACAATATTAGCCATTTTTCCATTTCCCTAGGCAGTATAGACAAAGGAGGGTGCCCAAGTGTAGAGAGTAGACCCATTCCACCAGCTTGATCTCTCATCATTGGTTCAGAAACCTCAAAAATCAGACAGTGTGGGCAGCCACATGCAGAAGACTAAAAGTGGACCCCAGCCTATCCCCATGCACCAACATCAACTCAAAATGGATTAAAGATCTTAACATTAAACCTGAATCTCTGAAACTACTGCAGGACAGAGTAGAAGAGACACTTGAACTTATAGGCACAGGAAAGAACTTCCTGAATAGAGTCCCAGGGTCACAACAAATTGGAGAGAGACTCGACAAATGGGACTACTTTAAAATAAAAAGCTTCTGCACAGCTAAAGCTATTGCAACCAAGCTAGAAAGACAACCAACTAATTGGGAAAAAATATTTACCAGCAATATTATCAGACAAGGTATTAATATCCAGTATGTACAGGGAACTCAAGAAACTAATCCCTCCCAAACCTAACAAACCAATTACTAAATGGGCAAGGGGACCTAAAGAGACTTCTCAGATGAAGAGATAAAAATGGCAAAGAAACACATGAGGAAATGTTCACCATCCCTGGCTGTGAAGGAAATGCAAATAAAGACAACCTTGAGATACCACCTTACCCAGTCAGAATGGCCCACATCCTAAAGTCAGCCAACAACAAATTCTGGAAGGGATGAGGAGAAAGAGGAACCCTATTACACTGCTGGTGGGAATGTACACTTATACAACCACTTTGGAAAGCAGTCTGGAGGGTCCTCAGAAAGCTAAATATTGACCTCCCTTATGACCCAGTCATACCATTTTAGGCATCTATCCTGAACAACAGGAACCAGTATACAAGGACACGTGCACCTCCATGTTTATTGCAGCACTGCTCACAATAGCTAGGATATGGAAACAATCCAGATGTCCCACCTCAGATGAATGGGTCCTAAAACTGTGCTATCTATACACAATAGAATATTATGCAGCCATTAGAAACGACAAAATAATGGCATTTGCAGGGAAATGGATGGAGCTAGAAAAAATCATGTTGAGCGAGGTAAGCCAAGAGCAAAGAGACAAATGGTACATGGTCTCCCTGATAAGTGGATGTTAAATCCAAAATGTTAGGTGATACAACAAAATTAACAGGATTTAAGAAACAAAGGACTTCCACTCATCTAGTCAAATCACTACTAAATAACCCCATGCTTCTGATCACATGTATGGTATATATGTGCACACCTGAGGGGAACCAGGAAGATGACACAGAACTAGAGGGAATCAGGGGAAAACATATAACAGTGTGACCCATCAGCTGCACTGGACATTGACCAAAATGAACTAAGAAACTTAATGACAGTGATGGGAGGGAGGGAACAAGTGGGAAAGAGGGAACAGCTGATGTTATGCAAAACAAAAGAAATGTACATACCACCCAATGTGGAAGAAATAACTATGGCAAAGCTCATAGAACTCATAAATGTTATAGACCGTGATAGACAATTTGCTCCAGGAAAGTTAGAATGTGTTTGTGACTTTAACTGAGCATCACTATCCCACAATACTGTGAAATTTGGGAAATTATGTAACCACTTAATCACAATAAAAAATTTGAAAAAAAAAAATCAGACAGTGTGCAAGTGTAACAGTGGAGGGGAATCCCCTACCGAAGCAGAAAACGAACACTGGTGGTGTAGGGGCTGCAAATGACACAAGCTTGTCCTAAAAGCCACAGCTTCCTGTGGGACTAGCTGGAAGGGAAATGATTTCAATCTATGAAATTACCTCTTTTGATTCCCATTAACATTATTTTCATCTTATTTGCATTAAAAAGTGTGCTGTGTATATGCATAACTTCATGTCATTTAGACATTTAGAGAGTAGTCAGGGAAGAAATTCAAAGACCCAAGTTTGAGCCTCAGCTCTGTTGACTACTACCAAACTTAAGATACTGAGGCACTTTTGTTTTTGCCAGTCCTGGGGCTTGAACTCAGTGCCTGGGCTCCAGTTTTTGCTCAATGCTAACACTGTACCACTTGTGCTACAACTCCCAGCCGTTTTTTGTTTATGTGGTACTGAGGAATGGAACCCAGGGCTCCATTCATGCTAGGCAAGCACTCTACCACTAAGCCACATGCCCAGCCTCACTGAGACACTTTTTCTCTCTGCGTCTTAGTTTGTTTTCCTTTCAGGAAATGAAAATAACAAACTGGGTATGGAAGCACATGCTTGTAATCCCAGCACTGGGAAGGCTGAGGTAGAAGGATCATGTGTTGGAGATCCTTCTATATATGTTCTGTGTAGTAAGACCTTGCCTTTAAAAAAAAATAACAAAAGAAGCCGGGCGCTGGTGGTTCACGCCTGTAATCCTAGCTACTCAGGAGACTGAGATCTGAGGATCATGGTTCAAAGCCAGCCCGGGCCGGAGAGACCGTGAGACTCCTATCTCCAATAAACCACCAGAAAGCCGGAAGTGGCCCTGTAGCTCAAGTGGTAGAGCGCTCGCTTTGAGCTGAAGAGCTGAGGGAC